GTTACACCGGGGGAATATATCTGTCTGTGGGTATATATCTCTTTGTACAGCCTCCGAGGAGGTTGATTGTTGAGTAGTTTCATTTATGGGTCCCACACAACACAGAGGTGCCGCACAGTACAGGGCAACTCCAAACGGACGATGGCGCCGACTTAGAGCCCCGTGGGTCAAGGCTGCCAGGACACACGTCCAGGGTCATGCTTCACATCACACAGAGGACTCTCTGCCTTCCGCTGCTGCGCCTGCCCCCACTTCGATGCCCTACAGTCACGGCCACTTGACACCCATCCACCGTCCGTCCGACTACCCCACAGCACTGCTCTGGTCCCGCTTGTACACACTGAACTGCGAACGGACGGTCCCCTCCCGACTCTGGCTCATGATCTCTCCCTGGCCCTGCCACACGACAGGGCTTTCACCTTTACATAACGCCCCTGCTGAGCACTCTCGCTCCGGATGTGGCTGCCAACCCCCACCGGGCATTGGCTCCCGCTGCCCCGCTGCCTGGTACGCTCACCACTCCTCTAGGCTGTTACCTGGTGCCCCCCGCGGAACATGCTACTCGTCTCTTTACCCTTGCCTGAGCCTACTACCTCCTTGCACCTCCCCCGGGTCCCTCCTTTGTGTCTCTGTCCTACCTGCACTCTACGCGTCCCCCCAGTTGCCCCTGGTGTCGGTGGAGGACCCTGTTCGGTTCCCCCTGTCTGCCCCCTTGCCGGACCCCCGACGACCCCCCTCTCCCCCTCCCTCATCCCGACTCCCTCCACGCCCCCAACCGGCCTCTCCTCCTGCTGACTAGTCTGCGGTTGCCTGCCTCTCCCTGCTCGGCCACGCTGCCACTGCCCACATTCTGCCACCTGACTGCTGCCCTGAAGGCCGGCCCTGACTCCCGCTCATCTCTCTGCCCCACTCCTCTCGGCCCACCCATCTTCCACACTTCTTGAAGGCGTGCCCACACACCCCTCCTCCTACCACTGTCACCTACGGACTGCATCCCTAGCCTCCCACACTCCCCCCCTCCAGCGGCCCTCCCTGCTCCCACCCGGTTTTTGTTTGCACTGATGGTTGGAGAGGGCACCCCTGGCGACGCACTTGGGCACAACCAAGGGGCACCTCCTGTTCACTTTTGGAACCTGGGGCTCCTCCGCCATCACCACCTCACGCTACCGACCCGTACACACACTCCACTGACGGGACTCTTCCCTTGTGCCTCGGTGGCCCGGCCACATGCCCCGCGCCCTACCCCCTGTGGACTCACACATCAAAGACCTGTGTAGAAGTCGCGACGCTGTCACCACATTACAAGACCCTCCTGGGCATTCTAGTCACTCTTTGCCCGCCCCTGCCCTCTGCCCATCCCACTGCGTCCCAAACACGTGCGCTCTGACTTCTCTGGCCCCCCCACTACACACCCTGGCGCCGTCCTCCCTGCTATCTCCCATTGCCCCTCCCATTGCCCCACGCTCCCCTCGTCCCTAGGGGACAATCGGCCCCCTTCTCCACCCGCCCACTCCCGGGTCACTCGTCCTTGCTTGCGGCCACCGCCTAACATGACCACCCTGTCCTGCGTCCTCCCGCCCTCATCCCCCTGTTCTGCCCGGAGGCCCTCTCTCTCCTATGTGGCGACCTGCGACCGGCACCCCTCCCTTCTTCTCAGCCACTTTCGTCCTTGGTCGGACGTGCCTTGAACCGGGACAACCTACATGACCCCCTCTCCTACTCTTCTCTGGCCTCCCCCCTCTTCCGCCCTCGCCTTGCGGGCTGGATGTGCCCCCTGCTATCCCGTCCTCCCTGACTACACTTTCTGGCCCCTCATCTATCTCTTGGGTCCTATCCCCGCTGATGCAATCTCATGCATCCATGCCGACCCCCTCCTGTGCTACCGCCCCTGCGACGGCGGCCACCTCTGCCCTCGCACTGTGGGACCCCTGCCCATGTGGCCTTAATCTTTTGTGGGCTGCCATTTTTTCCCTCTGTTCCCATAAGCGTGTCCCTTCTCGCTGACCCCCCCACCCGGGGACTGCCCGCCCTCTCACCGGTCCTGCGTGGGCCTCCTGCTTCCATCCCGTCTCTGCCAACCACTTGCCCTCCTTCCTCATTCTTGCGACATGCGCATCTACGCTCCATCTGCTAGTCTGTCGGATGTCCTCTCTTGCCTGGTGTTCTGGCCCCAGCTATCTTGCTTCTTTGAGCCTGCACCGGAACTTCACAACCCATCCCCCCTTGCCTGCCCCTTTCCCCTCCTTCCACCCCCTGTACCCTGGCATGGTCGCTGCCCACCGTCTTTATCCAATCCGTTGCCGCGGCCTGGCCCCATTTTTTTTTTTTTTCCCCTTGGGTCTACCATTGTGTGTCTTGCCCCTGCGCCCTTCTGCTGCGCTGCTTCTGCCCCCCCCGCGACTGCCCTCCCCCCTTGCCCCACTTACTTGCCCCCTGCCCACTCCCCGGGGGGGGGGGGACTTGACATTGGCTCTCCACACCCTTGCTGCTGCCACGCAAATCCCCCGCTCTTGCTGCCCACCTGCCCCCTGTGCTCTCCTGCCCCCCTCTCTCCTCCTCCGCCCCCTCTGGGCTTGCGCCTGACCCCTGGATGATCGGCCTGACCCTCATGTGGACGGACTCCTCCCAACGGTCGCAGCCCTCCCACGCTCTGAAGCCCCCTCCGATCCCACTCCTCACTGCCTCCCCTCCTGAGGTCCTCGCGCCACGGGCCTGCCCTCTGGGACTCTGGCGACTGGGACGTGCTGACACTCTCTGCTGCCCGATGTGGTTCCCTGTTAGCCCACCCTCCGCTTGCTCTTGGGCCGCTGTGGGGGGACTGGCTGGGTGGTCTCTTTGCTCGCGTGCCCTACCTTTTCGGCCCTGTCATTATCCCCCCCGGTGCCCCACACCCATCTGCTCCTAACCTTCTGTGTCAACCGCACCTACCCACCCACACGCGCGTCTCCGACGGCTTCACTGCCGCTGTTCTGGGGGCCCACTGCTATTAATATGCTTCAGGCCTTTGAACGGGGCTGTACCCCCGGCAGGCCACTGCACCCTGCTGACCTTCGCAGGAGTTGCTCCTGCCTGATGTCGGCGATACCCGTGCACCTGATCCTGCCTGCTGCCTCGCGGACCTTGGATGCCTGGTTCTCGTGTTGCGTCACACTCTGCTGTAGCCCGCCTTTGCTACTCCCCTGCCGAACGCACCTCTGTGTGTGACCGCTTCTGCCGTGGCTGAGACGTTTGCTTTGGCGGGATCCTCCTTCCCTCCCCCGACCCGATGGTCGCGCTCTAGCGCCTGCCGCACCACCCGCTGCCCACGGCGCCTGCTGCTGGTGGACCTACCACCTCAGACCCCCATCATTTTGCCAGCTCCCCATTCCTGCCCCCCCTTGCCCACCTGCACTGTACTCTTCAGCGAACCAATCGTGTCTGCCACCCCTGCTTACAAAATCTCAATTTCCCACTAGGTCCGTGCTTGCACCTTGCTCTACGCTGGCACCTGTCTGGCATCCTGTATGCCCTACGGCACATCCATCGATCTCGGTCCATCTCGCTAGTCCCCTATGCCCTAGCTTTCTGCGGCTTCTCCCGCTGCCCCACGTGCGCTGTGAGCCCCAGCACTCTACGCCAGGCCATCTCTCCCCCCTGCCCACTGTGGTGTTTGCGTGCGTACTGGGGCGGCTACGTTTACGCTTTTGCTGTGAACCTGGGCGCTTCTTGTTGCTCGCCCGGGCTGGTGCCCCTGTCTGACCTTCAACTGCCCACCATCAGGCTGCTCTGCCCCCCCGACCTGAGGTCTCCTCCCTGCCTTCCCTCTGCCGTCGCCCCCCTGGGACACCCCCCTCCCTCCCCCACGGGCTCACTGTCCGGCTTTAGGTCCGCCGGCTGTCACTGCCACCCCACTGGCGACCCCACTGTAGCCTGAGTCCTGAGACTGCTCAACGTTGGGACCCAGACCCCTGTCTGGGCGCCCTCTTGGGCACCTCTTAGCGCAGGGACTGCCCGCTTCCAACATCCTCTGGCGGCACTTCCTCTGACCTCCCAGGTGATTATAACGCGACCTCTCCCTGCCCGGACACCCTTGGTGCGAACTACTGTTTCCTGCCTACTTGGGGCCAGTGTCCGGGGGACCCCATGCCCCGGACCTGCCTCCGTACTCACCACGGCCCGTACTGGTGCATCTCCGGTGACCTCATCCGACCTCACCGGCAGCTCCCTGGCGAGCTCGCCCGTCCCTGCCCAGGGCGCTGTTCCCCACACACCAACACATGTCCACACCACCGGTGTGCTCCACGGGGGGTCTTGCCTGACGATCCTTCGGACCTGGCGCGGCCTGGACGTGGGGAAAACGGCACCCAGCCTATTCAGTACCAGCTTGGCGGACCCACACAACACTCACAGCAGCTGTGAATGCTGCAGTACACGTGAACATGCAGCTCACGGGGAAAAGGGACAAGGGCGAAGGACAGGACGGGGTCGCCCAACCAACCATACAGGAAAACACGGGAATGTGGGGGAAACAACACACACAAAAGGCACACATACGGAGAGAAACGCAGCACAGCGGGCACTAGGTGTTTGGGGCCAACCATGACAAACAGGGACCGCACCGGAATTAGGATGGAGGTGACATCTAGCCTACACCCCAAATCTCGCGTGCGCCACACCCCCTTACAACCAACGGGACACCTCCCCATGACCGTGCTGCGCATATGCCTCCCATGACCTGCTGCATCCTTGCTCCCCCCACCTTGGCTCGCGCTCCTTGACTATCACCCATGCCCCGGACCTTGTATCCTGCCCCTTCAGCCTGGGCCTGACACTAGCCGCTTCTTGGGGGACCTCTGCCCCCGGTACTGCATGTTAGCACCTCTGTCACCCACAACGATAACATATTACCACGGAGAAGGCGCACTGCAAGTGTGTCCGTCCTGCCTTACCCCCACATACATCACGTACCCCGACCCAATGCCACTGGGACCGGGACACCTTTTTACTCCCCCCCACTCCGCTGACACTGCTCTGCCCTCTGTCGTCTTGTGCCTGCCGGAATCTTCGCTCTGTCCCACCGGGCTTTTTTTAGTCCCTGGGCTTCTGCGACATGAGGACCTTTTTCCCTTTCCACACCTGTACATAGTACCTATTCTGTGTACACGCTGTACCTGTCATGTCACTCCGTCTACGCGGGGGTCACACAGGCAAGGCCACGGACCAACACACACACGAGGGCCATGCCCGCACGAAGGCGACCGCGGAAATAGTACATCAAAGAAACGCACAACACACAGACCACACGGGCAATCCAACGCTGAGGCAAGTTGCCCAACCGGACACCTAAAACGAAAGAACACAAAAGTACAAGAACACAGAACAAGGCGACAACGATAGTACCGTTATGATGGGGGTCCTGCCTGGACATAAAGAAGTAAGAAGTTGGGAAAGGAAAGGCACGTTCGGAGCAGAGGTGAGCGACAGAAGGCCAAGGAGCACACAGGCGAGTTGGTCAGGGAGTGACAAACATGCCACTGGCAAGCCAGAAACGACAGGCGGGAGAAGGAACACAAAAAAAGATACAACACGCGAGGGGGGGTCGCACACCAGAGAAAAGGGTAGCTAAAAAAGGGGGAGGGAGGAATAGGAAGCACGCACGGAGGATACAACAAAGGGGGACAACGACACAGGCTAGAGAGGACGGCACAAATAGGAACATATCAAACCACTGATGGGGAACCAGGGCTAAGGGATTGTAACGGAGAGAGGGACAAGAGGTATGAAGGCACACCAATGGGGTCACAGGGGAAACATGACGAGAAGAGGGACGTATCCTAATCAGAGCAACCAACACCAGCCGGAGGGTACATGAGGCGCACGGGGACGTCGGAGATTGGACATACACGGAGTCGGACTGTGACAGCGCGGGGTCACGTGGGTCAGGGCACTGGGGAGCCCACAGGGGGGGGAGGACCAATGTTTTTACGAGACACTTACTTCCCTCTCTCCTCCACACCCCCCACAATAACTCGGCCCCCGGGTATTCACCTCACGCCCCCTCCTCCACCCTGGCCCCTAATCGACGGTCTGCTTCCGCCACACCACGGCATGTTCTTCTGAGTCGACGACCCGGCACCATAGGCCACCATTAGCCTGGCGTGACACAGTGCGTACTGGTCCACCAGCTCCGGGCCCCGCACACTTCCCTACCTCCCTCAGGCTGCTGTTACTTCGCCCGTGCCCCCTCCTGGACCTGCCATCCTTGCGCCAGACTGGCTTGGCCCTGCCATAAGTGGGTTCCTCTCCTGCTCTTTCCAATTCTGCTCTCATCTACTAGCCCTGCCTGTCAGCCCCTGCCTCAAATGCAAGGCACAACTGGGAGCCCCGGCACCATTTCCTATCTCGCCTTTCACTGCGGTTCCCTGGGGGTCTGAGCCTGCGCTGCCCCACACCCACTTCAACCAATGTCCACCTCTTCCCCCTGTCCGCGTACCACTTCGTGGTGGCCACAGCCCCTTCCTGCTACTGGCACTTTTCTCCGTCCGAGCACTGGCCCAGACGGGCGGGTGTGTGTGGCCCCGTCAACTCCAGGATCTATTGCCTCTCTCCGGTGCCGACTACGATCTCGCACGTAGGGTCTCCTGACCCTGCGTGTCTGCTGTCGGCACACCATGTGCACCAGATTTGGAACAAGCAGGTGATAAAGCTTAAGGGGCTCAAGAAGACGTCACAGGGACGTGCGTAGGCAGGACACAACACAGGGTCCAGGGCAAGCCGTTGAACGAGTAAGAAGAGGAGGGGGATGTCAGGCCTGAGATCCCAAAAGCGGCACACACCAAACATGACGAAAATCACACGGACACACAGGAGGACACTAACACGATACTGCACTGACACTCTTTACCGGCAGGTTGGGGAACAGGAATTACACAAGGCGTATGATTGCCCGGCGGGGGACTGCCGGATAGCGGAGAGCCCATCCACACACTGGACAGCAGCTTGAGTTTACACCGCACCATCGACAACAACACACGGTACGACGGCCGGGGGGCCATTCCACCATGCGAAACAATAGAGTGGCTTGGAAGCCACTGGGGACACAGGCAAGTGGCATGTGAAACGATAGAGAGGAAGAGACCTTGCAGTGATGTGTCGTCACGCTACTTGCGGCCCCCGGACGGGATGCATCCTGCCCTCAGCTGAGACCTGCCTCCGCCCCTGCATATATTGACCTGCTCTCCCCATGGCCCTTGCACACACGGTTCTCCTTCACACACCTTCCACGCACCACACCCCTCGTGCGCGATCGGGTGTACCCTCCCCTCACACCCTGTCTGCTTGCGGAGGGGTACTGCCTCATTGTGGCTCACCTGTCACTGACCCGCCTCTGCTTCACCATACTGTTCCGCCCTGTACTTTACCCTGTACGCTCGCATGCTCCACCTCTGCTGGCCTGTTCTAGCCCCTGCCTGCCTCCCCATCCGTGCCACTGTCTACCGCCCGCTGACCGGGGGGCAGCGACCGCCCACTTTGTACCTTGCCCCGCACTCTGCAAGCCCACCGCCCACCTGTTGCCGCTGTGACTAACACTGGGGGACGGGCCCGTGCTCACACTGCTGCCCTGTGATACCTCCACTTTTGAGATCCTGGCGCACTCCTTACCACCCCCGAGTCCTTCTTTTAGCTGTCAACTGCCCAGTTTCTCCTTCACCCTCGTATCTCCCACGATCCCCCTCACGTGCTCCCCCTGTGTGTCCACTGTGAACTCTGTCTCCCCCCTCCCCCTGCCCCTGTCCCCTGACTGCCCCCCCTCTCCCCCTTGTATGCCTTTTGTGCTGGACATCATCTCCTATTCCCACGCCTCTGCCCCTCCGGGCACATCTGCCCACTGACCCACCCCTGCCACGTGCCTGCGCTGCTGGCCTGATCACACATGCTTGCTCTCTCGCTCACCCACTCTCTACCGTCCTCCCTGTTCTCTCTTAATTCTCCCCCCCACACTCTTGCTTTCCCCCCGCTTCCCTGTGCCTTGGCCAGCCCTGCTGCGCCCCCTGCCTGGAACTGGACCCTCTGTGACTGTTGCGGACCTCTGGCTCGCCCCCTCCGGCCTCCCCTGCACACCCTTGTTTCTACTGCACCTGCTTTCCCTGCACTTGTGCGGGATCAGCCCTCCCTGGTGCCCTGATCCGGCCACCTCTGCCGGCCCCAACACCGCTTATCTGGACACCCTGTCGGGGACCTCGCCTGGCTTCTGCCCTTGTGCTCCCTGCCTCCCGTCCCCACCCGCCTGTCTCCCCTCTGCTGCGACCCTCCCCACGCTTACTCCCTTCTGCCTTGTAGTACGCTTGTACCGCCTCCTGCGGCTCCCCGCTGCCCCGTGCCCTTTCTGGGACCGCCCCTGCTACCACTCTTCCCTGCCGTCCGCCGCTCTGCCCGCTGGTCCCCACCCCACTCCCCCCCTGCGTGCCTCTGGTCCGGGGGCCCCCCAATCCCCGTTCGGCCTTCGTGACGGCTCAACCTGGGGGACTCGCTCCCATACTGTCTTTTCGTGACCTTTCCCCGACCTGCCCTGCCACCGGGGGACTTTGGTGTGGCCCCCTCCCCTTGTTGAATCTTCTTGAGCCTTATCTGACTCCCTTGTGCCTGCGGCCCCGTCTGCTGCCTGCCCATCGCCTACCTTCTGCTCCTGAGCGCCTGCACCTTCCCGACTCTGCCCTCCTCCTACAACACCTTTGTGCTGCCTGCTTTCTCCAGCTCTGCCCTGGCCTTCTCGGGGGAACCCAAGGTCCCTCTTTGCCCTCCGAGGCTTGGACGTCCCTCTCGGGGACTTGGCAACCTCTTCTCTCTCCGTTGACTTCCTCATCCCAGTCCAATGTCCCTGGGCCCTCACTGGACCTACTGACCTGCTTGCTGCGCTCACACTGGTCCTGCTACCTGCCTCCCCCAGCCCGTGACTCGCTGCCTCCCCCCTGTGTCCTCGCTACCTATCGACCCCTACTTCTTGTTGCACCTCACCCCTACGATCTCCGCCCCACCTGCGTGGCTCTGCTCTTGGAGTCCACGGTGTATCCGGAGAAGATGATGGACGAGCTTGCACAGCGTTGTCTATTACTACTGAATTTCGTAGCTAATTCCTGTTAGTGCTGGTGTTTGCTTCACAGCCAAACTGGACGCAGTTGTATTGTTGAGTTATGTAGGCACTTCACGTCAGCACATTTGGACAGGCTTCATAAGAGCACCAGGCTGAATACCTTGTAGACATGCCTTCTTTAATCCCGATCCCCAGAAATGATTACGTTGGTTTCAGGTAAAAGATTTTTTCGGGATATTTGCCAACTTTTGTTGGATTTAGCTGCCAGTCCTTTTCGCTGAACCGCGGGCACAAGCCATAGAGCCATTTCGGTGGTATTTGTAGAAAGCCCAGTGTCAGCAAGTGGCTGCTAACCTTACACCACTTCGGCTGTTGAGGGAATTTAACTGTGTTCCGGTCCTGAGTTGGCCATTGACGGT